CCTGAAAACAATGACTTCAAAATGTTGGTGATGACATCCCGAAGGGTGAAATTAAATCTACCTCAAACTCAACTTTTTCTTAGTGTTTAATAAAGCATTTGTGACAGATAAAGCTCACAAAAAATTATCTGTCATTTATCTGGTGTTTACGTGTCATAGGAGATTATTCTATCTGTGTGGTTTACTTTTACATTGCTGTGTAGTTGTCGGTTGAACTCTTTTTGCTTGTGTTGCTGAACATTTTCATGCTGCTGGCATAAACTAACCCATCTCTGGTCTGGTCCCCCTCTCTGTTTCCTCCAGTCAAATCCACTTTTCAGCAGGACAATAACCTAAAGCGCAAGGCCAGATATACACTGGAGTTACTTACCAAGACATCATTGAATGTTTCTGAGTGGCCTAGTTACAGTTTTGACTTAAATCGGCTTGAAAGTCAATGGCAAGACTTGAAAATTGATGTTTAGCAATGATCAACAACCAATTTAACAGAGCTTGAATACTTTTTTAAAGAATAATGGGCAAATATTGTACAATCCAGGTTTGCAAAGCTCTCACAGACTGACTCAGAAAGACACAGCTGTAATCGCTGCCAAAGGTGATTCTCACATGTATTGACTCGGGTTTGAATACTTATCTAATCAAAATATATGAGTGTTTTATTTTTGTTATTTTTTTTACTTTGACATTACACAGTATTTTGTGTAGGTCCATTTTAATCCCACTTTGCAACACAACAAAATGTGGAAAAAGTCACTGTATATGAATTCATAATATGTGTTCTTCCTATTCATGCTTGTATTTGTTAATGTTCGTGTTCATGTTACGGTCATAATTAACCCTCCTCTGGTCAGGTCCACCTCTCTGTTTCCTTCATTACAGGACTGATCAGCTGTATTACATTCATTTGTTAAACTGAACGTGTTCATGTTGCGGTCAAACCCTAACCATCCTGCGGTCTTGTCTCACTCTGTTCTCTCCAGTACAGGATTGGTCAGCTATATATGATCAGCAAGCACAGCCATGAGCAGAGTGACCGCGGCGAGGGGGTGGAGGTGGTCCAGAATGAACCGTTTGAGGACCCCGCCCACGGTCAGGGCCAGTTCACAGAGAAACGTGTCTACCTCAACAGGTGAGTGAGTGACCATCATCCACCCATGCTAAAGGTACAATCTGGGATCTGTTCAATGGTTGTACACCAAAACAAGAAGCAGGGCTGCTGTTTTACTGAAAATTAAATCCCAGATTGTAGCTTTAACTCTTCCACATTTACAAGGGGACATTATCTATAGGTTTAATGCACTATAAAGGGAATAGGGTGCCATTTGGAACGCAGACAAAGTGTTGTTCCTCACACACTCGACGCTTCGCATGGCAGACTGCTGCTGTCGTGTTGCCCCGAGTTACTAAGCCCTCACAGCTGTGCAACACACAATACTCCCCCCCCACACTTCTTGGCTCTCAGCCGTGTGTGTGTGTGTGTGTGTGGGTGGGTGGGTGGGTGTGTGACCTCTCCCAGCGCATCGCTGAGCATCGAAGGACAGAAACTTCCTAAGTCGGCAAGATCTACAGGGAGAGGGAGAGAGAGAGGGACAGAAAGAGCTAGATTTCATCACAAATACCTGTGTCAGCGGTCGGGATGCCCTTAAGGTGCTGAGTCAGCAGGGTCTGCCCTGCCGCACCGCTATCCTTGAGATAGAGAGGGACACAGAGGAGAGAGCGAATGGGAGGGAGGGAGAGCAAGAGAGAGATGGCAAAAGAGGGAAAGAGAGAGAGACATGCATATTCAGAAGGAGACATATTTTAACATGATCAAAAGACCTGCTGCAGGCTCTTCAAAACAGCAGATCTTGGATCAGGTCTTATCACATTCCCTCCCACTTGAATCTGTCACAGAATACATGATGTATTGTTTGAATAAGGACAATTGTCACTACCCAACTTCCATTAGGAAGACTGTCACCATTCATTATTGTAAGAGAGGATGTGGACACATGAGAGTACCGTCTTTAATAGGGACACAGTTCATCAGAGGACACAGTATGACGATGAGGGAATTATGTAGTGAGGTTGAGCAACAGCAGGGCCACTGTGTTTTTGCAAATGTGTGTGTGTGCATATGTTAACTCTCCACTCATTGTGCAACCACAGCTGCAGTCACCTATGCCCCTACCACCTCTTAAAAACAATCCTGCTGCTCTAGTTCTCCACAGCAGATGGGTGCCTCTCAGCCTTTTGTGTGTGTGTGTGTGTGTGTGTGTGTGTGTGTGTGTGTGTGTGTGTGTGTGGTGTGTGTGTGTGTGTGTGTGTGCGTGTGCGTGTGCGTGTGCGTGTGCAAGTGAAACCTCTCCATAAACATCTATCTCAGGTTTAGTGAACCAGGTGCCTTAGGGAGGGAGGGAGAGAGAGTCTGCCTGCCTGCCTGCCTGCCTTCCTTCCTTCCTTCCTTCCTTCCTTCCTTCCTTCCTTCAATGGTCTTCATTAAACATCGACTCAGATGGTTGATTTTGTGATGAAATAAAGTAGGGATACTTTGCGGACACACACGCACACACTAGTCCACACTTTCAGAGCTTGAGCGCAGATGACTGGTTTCTCTGCCAGAGTCTTTAAATACTGTAGGAATGGGTGAGATGTGGGATGGAGAAACCTTACCACCGCCTACAGAGCTTGGCGGGCACAGTGTGAAGTGTCAATGCGTGCCATAGTGTGTCAATGCGTGCCAATGTGTGCACAGGGCATGAAGGAATGTTTAAAAGAAGAATGAGAGAAGTTGAGCAGATGGAGGAGTGTCAGCCATTTTCTTTTGGGGGGATGGGCTGGGAATAGTTGGCCTGTCAACATTTTCACAATGTTTCTTTGGCGTTTCTGTTTCTTTTTATATCAGCTGTCACCACGCACTCACAGTCATGTAGCTAAGGAAATTGAATATCTAAAGCTTTTATCAGAGATTAGAGGCTTACATGCACACACACACCAATCTCTATGCTACACCGCAGACACACACACCTTTATATGCCACTGTTACACTCTCTAGAGCCTTTGAGTAAATGTCCCTTCAGCTTTCTCTGCCAAGGCCAGTGTGTTTCTGTTTCGGTGCACCTTTGTGTGTAAAAGAGATCTCAACCTCTCCAACAAAACCTTGCCATTGTAATAAATAAATAAAAAACCATTAAGGTAGTGTTGTGAGGTTATAGACGGCTCTTATAAGTGCTGCTCTCTCTTTTATCTTTTACAATGTTCTTTGTTTCATTTTCAAGTTTCTTTTTTAACTGCTTTAGAAATGATGATGGCACCAATTAATCAAAGACATGATGTATCTCTCTTTCATCTCTCTCTCTCTCTCCCGTCTCTCTC